GGGGGGAGCGACAGCGATGGAGACGTGTGTTAATGTCGGGCCAAATGGATGAACTCCCAGCGACCCAGGAGCCCTGACGGCAGCGGGGCATCTGCCAGCCCTCCGACCGGCGGGTGAGCACATACATGGCGGTTTTCGATGAAGTCCGCCTCCGGCAGGCGGTACTCGTGAAGGAAGTGCGTCGGTGCTCCGTGTGGCAGGGTCCGCTGCACGCGCTTGGCACTGGTGGACGGGTCGTCCACAAGGGAATTCACATAGAAAATGCGCGGAACCTGAGAAATGCCGTCAGCAACATTGTGAAGGTCATCCAGGCGGCAGGAAGCACGGAACACGCACATTGACCTTGATGACATTCATGGTCTCCCCCACAAAGGCAAAGACATTGAACTCCCCGGGCGTGGGGGTCTGCATGGGGAGTGGGGGGGGGGGGGTGAAGAAGGAGAAAGAGAGGGAGAGGGAGGAGGTGTGTCAGTACTTGCGAGGGCCACAGCATAGGCAGTTGGAGTGGTTGGCACACGAATCGGCCGGCCGGTCAGGCCGCATGTACCTCGCAAATCTGGAGGATCTCCCACGTGCGCGTGCGGAGGGCATCCGCCTGGCGCCGGAAGTAGGACGGCTTCATCGACGGGGCCATGACGATGGAAGCCCCGGGGTCCGAGGCTTCGGGGCCGGCTGCCGGCGGGTTCCGGCGCCGGTGCCGCCAGACTTCCTTTGCCTGGACCAGCCAGGCCCGATAGTCGACCAGTGCATCGGCCTGCGGGGCGATGATCGGCACTGTGTCAGGGCCGGCTTCACTGGCCGAGCCTGCCTCCGGGCCCTCGTCATTACCTTGGCCGTCAGAGCCGGCCGGCATGCGCTTGCGCTTGATCATACGGCCTGGGGCCAGGCCGCCGGTGCCGAGGTCCTCGATGTCCGGGATGGCGGCCCCGGGCTCGCCCTTGGTGAACATGTCGGTGATGCGGCGCTGCCGGAAGCCAGCATCGCATCCGTGCTTCTCGGCCAGCTGCTTTTGCAGCCAATCCGGATGCCGGACACGCGGCACCGGGTTCGCCACATTCTGGTATGCGGCCGGGATGGTGATCAGCTTCTGAATGGCCGCGCCGAAGCGCTCGATATAGTACTCCCAGTCCAGGAGCGACCGAATGTCGAAGTTGTTCAAGGACGGATCCTTGAGCCTGAAGCATGTGACAGGCGGCCCCGACCGTGTCACAAGCCATGCGCCCCAAGTGGACAAAGTGAGGCGGTTAGTATCAGGCCTGGGAGAAAAAAAAGGGAGCAAGAGCGGGCCACCTGGCAGGGGCAAGGGAGGCGAAAACACGCAAACGCACCACTTGCGCAAATAGTGCCGCTTGACATGCTCCTCGGCCGAGAAGATGGCCACCGGCACCGCACGCTCGGTGACCGGCGTGCCGAGCGGCTTGGTGGAGATGATGAACTGACAGGAAAGGCCCTTGTCCTTGACCATCTGGTCGCCGAGGAACTCGGCCAGACGCCGGGCCGTGCTGATGGACGTGGACTTTTGGTTGCCGTAGTCCTCGAGCGTGCGTGACATGCTTCGATTCTCCGACAGCAGGTCGATCACCTCGGAGTCCTCCATGTCACGGGCTGTGGCGTCCGGGCGAGAATGGAAAGGCACCCCGGGGGGGGGGGGGGAGGTGAGAATGCCAAGAGGGCATGACGTCAGAGAGGGTGCACATGCGCATGAGCCGAAGGCCATCGAGGGAGGCACCGACAAAAGCAAGGAGCAGCAACATGCTTGGTCAGGGCAAGGAGGGAGGGGAGAGAGAGAGAGAGAGAAAGACAGGGGGAGGGGCAATCAGGTCGCACCCTTGCTGTAGAGCACGTCCAGCCAGTTGTTGGCCACGACGGCCACATACTCGTAGCACTCGGCCAGGGTCCGTCCACCGAGGAAACGCTCGAACAGCTGCGACTGGAAGGTTTTGATCAACTGAAGCTCCCCTCGGCGCTTGATTTCGAAGCCCTTCAACTCGGCCAGCTTGCCACTCGGGTGGAAGACCGCATAGCGCTTCTTCAGCTTCTTGTCCTTCTCCGTGGACGAGGGCAGGATCATGGCCCGGTACGGGCCATCGATCTCGAAGAAGATGCTGTTCTCCGAGGAGGTGGCGTAGACCAGGCGCTCGGGATCCACCAATGTCTGGTATTGGTGATTGGTGAACTCCTTGTTGACCATATGATTAAGCAGGGAGCAGGGGAAGGACAGGCGGACGCTGTGGCAGGGTGATTCGCACGTGCGCGCAGGTGTACAGGTGCCATGCAAAGGTGCGGCGGTGATAGGCCAGCAGACGCACAGGCGGCAGGTTAGATTGGGCCCCAGCGAAAGGTCAGAGCAACACACACACACACACACACACACACACACACACACACACACACAGACACAGACACACATGCACGCGCGCACGCGCGCGAAAATGTCGGTCAGTCGCACCTCTTGCCGGACTTCAGCTTGAGCGAAACATTCTCCGGGAAGCCGGCCGGCAGGACACACCAAATACCGTCAGTGTCCAACTCCAGCGGCCGGCCAATGCGATCGACCAGCTTGTGAGCCATGCGGATGATGTTGGCACCCGTGTGACAGACTGAAGGGAGGGTTGGGGAGTTAGCGGACATGGTGAGTGACGGTGGCGGCCGCTGCCACCGCCGCCGCAGCGGCACCAACAACATGTGGCACCAACGCACCAATGCCGGCCATCTCCATCGAGTACCACCGAGCAGCCTTGCGCATGACGTAGCCATAGAAGGAGTTGAGGATGACTTTGTGCGCAAGCTGCAGCGAGTCGTAAATGACCACCATCTTCTCGGACTCCTCGATGCGGGCCATGTCTCGGCTGGCCAGCGCCTCGCGCCGGATGTTGCCCCACTTCTTGTGCAAAACCTTGTAATCGTAGCGACTTGTGTTGATGCCCGAGAGCCGCGCAGGGGGCGACCCCAAAAGCGAGGGTCAGAGACTGGGGAGAGAGCGAGAGAGAGAGAGAGAGAGAGAGAGAGAAAGAGGGTCAAGGCAAAGAGCCGAGAGCCATGGGTCGTACCGGTCACGGAAGGCCCGGACGGTGTCCACGTAGAAGGAGTTCTCCCTTTGGCAGACGATCGACTTGCGCGTTTCCACCCGAGTGATGTGCGTCCGCTTGTAAACCTTGCGGCTATAGTCGCCCAGGCGCGCCGACAGGAGAGCTGCCTGCTCGCGAGCCGGCAGGCTGGTGAAAGGCTGGGGAGGCATGTCGGGGAACTTGCTCGGGAAGGCTGATGTGGATGCATGTCCCACCGACGAGGGCACCAGGGACGACGGACCAGCAGGGGAGGAGTTAAAAAACAGGCGGGCGAGAGAGCGAGAGAGAGAGAGAGAGAGAGAGAGACAGGGAAAGCAGGGACGAAAAAAAAGGGCGGGCCGAAAGACGCACTTTCAGTTTCCATCTGAGCGCGAATCAGCTCGGTCTCGCCCTTGTTGGCGGGGAAATATTCGCCACGCCACTGCCACTCCATTTCGCGTTGGCTGGAGCCCGGGTCCCGGGCCAAACAGAACAGGGCGGTTAGATCAACCAACCGGACGGCGGGGGGCGGCAGAGCGGCAGAGCGATGGAGCAGCACGACAAGGAGAAAGAAATGTGCGATGTCAGGGAGCAAGATGCGCACCAACCGGAACCGGGCACATTGAAGTCGCACGAGGCACATGTAGTCTCGTCAATCAGCGCCGGGGGCTGGCGAGGCGCGGGATTGCGGGATTGCCAGTTAGGAAGGAGGATGTGCCAGGCGCACAAGGCAGATGAAAAGAGCAAATGAGGGAAGGACGACCAGGCACGCACCTGGAGACGGTTGGTGAGAATGATGTTCGGATACATGGCCGCCACATCCAAGTGGTAGATGAGGGGCAGGATTTCCCGACGTGGCGCGTCGCGCAGCTCGCTCAGCGCGCGTGTGAGTTCGGCCTTAACCTGCGAAAGAGTGGCCCGACAGACCGCGGCGAGCGGACAGCATACAGGTCAGAGACGAAGGGGCATGCGCAAACAACCAGCAGGGAAGCAGAGGGTGATGAAAAGGGGAAAGCCAAGCAGATGTACCTCCTCCAGGTTGGTCACCTCGTCCAGGGAAGCCCCCTCGCCCTGGAGACCGAAGGCCAGCGTCTCGTCCATGCCATCGATCAGCTCCTGGAAGGCGGTGGCGTCCATGTCGAACTCCATCGGGATGTCAGAGCGGAAGACACCCGACTCGATGGCCTCCACATGACCGCCGACGTAAGTCTCCGTCTCCAACAGGTGGCCGTTGAAGGTCCGACCCAGCTCGTCAACTTGCTTGTTGGGCATGATGATGCCCAGCTTGAAGGATTGTGCCTGCGGCCGGGAGGGAGAGCAAGGCAATGCAGGGAAGGGGCCAGCGAAAGACAGGGTGGAGGGCAGGAGAGAGGGAGAGAGAGAGAGAGAGAGGGAAAGAAAGGGCGAAAGGAGGAAGGAGAAGAAAGGGAGAACGGTCCAACCAGATGGTGGTTAGCTGGGGGCACATGGCTGATGGCGGGAAAGACCGAGGGGAGCGCCAAAAAAATGGGCCGCCACTTCATCGCACCATGAGCAGGGTCTCGCACAGTGTGCCGGAGCCCTTGCGCAGGACCTCATCCGCGCACAGGGGGATGATGTTGCACAGGGAAAAGATGAACGGATGCACATACTTCATGTACAGATAAAAGGTGGCCACCGCATCGGACACGGAATAGGTGGCCAGCTCATGCGGACGCTCCACGGCGAAGGGGGTCATCTGCTCCGGATCAAGCTCCACTGGATTGTATCCGAGCAGGGCCGTGGTCACGGCTTTGAGGCCGTGCGAGCCGGCCGGCAGGTAACTATCTCGCTGCACCCAGCGGAAGGCGTCCATATGTGCACAATGCCGGCTGAAATACTCCCCACCGGCGGAGGTCTGTGCGAAGCCAATCTCCTCGAACATGTTGATGCCGAATGCCTCCAGCCGCGCCTCCAGGAAGGGCCAGTCGAAGAAGTCCCCGTTGAAGGAGGCAATGATCGAGGGCCGGACCTCCTGGATATGCTCAAGGAAGCGCCGTAGCAGGGCCTCCTATCGACAGGCAAGCCGATGGAAGGGTGAGCACAGAGCATGCGCCGGCGAGGACGACCCGGCCGGAAGGAGCGAAAGGAATGCCTGTATGTGTGTGTGTGTGTGTGTGCAGGGAGCGGCAGGGAGGATGAAAGAAAAGGGAGGAGCAGCGAATGCGGCGACGCACTTCATCGGGCTCATTGAAGATGATGAATGGGCCCTCATACTCCGGCACCGGGGTGTACTCGAAGTCGTCGATGTCCGCCGAGACAACCTCGCGGTTGGTAATCAGATAGCCCTGAGGGGGGGGGGGGGGGGCCGAGGGGAAAATACGAAAAAGAGGAGGGAGGGTGGGCGCGCCACTCGTTAGTATGGGATGCCAGCGGCGGAGGCATGTCGCGGGATGCCAAATGGGCAACACACCTGCTTGTCGATCATATACGAGATCATCATAATGCCATCGGTACGGGCATCGGGGAATTTGAGTGGCTGCTTGGTACACTCAATGTCGAAGGCTGTGGGAGGACACCCCCGGGAAGGGACAGCGTGGCGGGGAAGGGGTCAATTCCAAGGTGGCCCGACAGCTCAACGGCAGCCAACATGGCACGTACCAAGAACGATGGCATCCGCGCGCTCGACCAGGTCTACATTTCGGTGGAGCGACACGGCTCCCTGTCGGATGCTGACCGAATACCAGAAGCCCACACGGATGTCTGCATGGCCAATAGGCGGAGAAGGGGGAAAGGGGAGGGGGAAAGGGGGAGGGGGGGCGGGGCACGACAAGACAAAGGCTTGAGCGTCAGCGGAGGGGGCGGGGGGGGGGGGGGGAATGACAGCCGACTTCACCGACAGCAAAGAGGGTCCCAACACAAAGGAGGACAGTCGCACCGAGATCGATGGCCGCGCGCAGGTAATATGGGATGTCATACTCGCGGATGTCGATGATGGCCGCCTGGACATTTGCGACGGTCTCGTACAGGGAGGCGACCGCCCCGGCGGCCGGGCGACCGCCAGTTTTTTCGAGCCCCGCCCGCGTGGAGGTCACCTGCGCCCGGGAGTCGGTGAAGGGAAGCGGCGCGCCGAGATCCAGCGCCCCGCTGGCCGAAGCCGAGGCCGAAGCTGCTCCCAGCGCCTCGGCCGCCGCGGAGCCCGCACCAGCCGCCAACAAAGAGTGGCCGCCAGCCGAGGCGTCTCGCCGGCGCTCGGCATTCCGGGCGACCAGGGGCGCGGCCCAGCGCCGGACACGCGTGGCATCCGTCGTATTCCGGAAGAAGAGCTGCAGGTAGCGGACCTTGATGCCAGTAAGGTGGTTTGGCTATACCACAGGGGCAGAGGACCGGGGGGCAGGTGGTGAGACTCGGCCGACTGGGCAGCATGCAGGAAAGGATGGGAAGCTTGATACCTGGCTCAGATCCTCCTTATAGACGTGCACAATCCGAGTGAAGACATTTTCAAACTTCTTCAGTAGGAATTGCTCCACCTCGACCTCCATACCGGACTAGAGGGCAGAATGCCGGTGACATGAAGACGAAGCATGCGTGCGTGCGAGTGTGTGTGTGTGTGTGAGGGAGAGAGAGAGAGAGAGCGAGCGAGCGAGAGAAGGAGTGGCTGGGGACCGCGCGAGAGGAAGAGGGGGAACATGTGCGGCGAAGTTCGGGCAAAGAAAAAACACAAACAAAAATGCCCAAGACCATACGCACCGCCACGCGCAGGTAAAAGTACGGATCCATAGTCAGGGTGGCCTTGAAGCGCGAGCCGTCATGCTTGAGGAAGTAGAAGTCGACGGCTGACCGGCCGGATGGCCAGTCCGGATCCCGGACCGTGGTCTTTCAGCAACATGTCAATCGCTCGGCCAAAGGGAATGGCAGGGGAGAGGTCGCGAAGGGCGACAAAGGGGCGCACCTCATGCATGTTTAAAAGCCAGCCGAGCTCCGGCTCGTCGGTATCCTCCAAGCGGACGTACCCGAACTTGGCATCGATCGCGTCGGACTTCTCAATCTCGGCGAAGCGACTTTCGAAGAGGTCGAAACGTTGGTCACCGTCGGCAGGGGCATCATCTTCAAAGGCGCCTCGCGGACCGCGCTGCCCGGCGAAGCTCCGGCCACCGCCGCCAAAGCTCTGGGCGCCGCCACTACCACCACCACGACCGCCCTGCTGGCCAAACCGCCCACGCGACATGGCAGAAGTGTGTATGTGTGTGTGTGGGATGAGACTCCCGTCTACGGATGGGGAAGATAGGAAGGGGGATTGGAAGGGGAGAGGGAAAGATAAGGGGATGGAGAGAGAGAGCGAGAGAGGGGGGAAAGGGAGGGAGAGAAGGAGAGGGCTGAGGATCGAGTTGGACAAGAGGTATGTTTCCTACGCCGGCACTGTGCCGCCAGATCTTCTCCGTGGCAGCTTCCTCTCCGCCCCTTCCGCCGCTCGGCGACGTGCGGGTGCGCTTGTGCGCGTGCGCGCGTGTGCCTGTGTGCGGCCCGGGCCGGAGGCGCTGCCGGTGGCCGGCGGGCGCAATTCAAATCCCCACAACGGTGAAAATGTCATTCTGTCATGGTGTGGGGGCCCAGTTGCCAATGAACAAGTGAACGACGATCGGGTTTCTCTGTCGCTTTGTGTATTCTTTTTTTGGGGCCGCGCCGATGGAGAGGGGGGAGGGGTGCGCGGGAGAGCACTCGACCACACACACACACACACTCGCGTACACATTCGCGCACGCATGCCTCAGGCTCGCATATGCATCCGCCTGTTTGTGTGCGCATACGTGTGTGTGTGTGTGTGTGCGCGCGCGCGCGCTTGCGTTTGTGTGAGGGGAAAGGCAAGGAGTGGAGGGAGGGGAAGAGAGAAGGAGGTGGAGATAGGGGAGCCTCTCTTCACACCAGCTGGTTCTGGGGGGCAGCTCCCTCGGGCTGGTAGGAGTTGCTGACAACGCCCTGGCCGCCGGTCAGGGTGCTGGCCGAGCGGGTCTCGCGCTTGCACAAGGCGGTCATGTAGAGCAGGGCCGCAGCCAGCAGGGTGATGGCTGGAACAATCAGGGTGGACACCTTGATGGCGACGGTGCACATCATCAGAGCACCGAAGCTGCGCCGTGCCGGCGAACAAAGGGAGGTGGTTAGGGCGCAAGAGGGGAGGGCGGACGGCACTGCGAAGGGTGGAAGGGATGCATGGCCAAGAACGCACGCCAGGTAAAGAATCGAGCGGACCCAGAGCTTGTCGAAGAAGGCGGTGGACTTCATGCTGTGTGTGTGTGTGTGTGTGTGGGAGGGAGGAGGGGATGACGGAGAGTGAGCGAGAGGGGCCCGGGGAGGCGAGCGCGGGAAAGCCGGCAAGCGAGCCCGGCGCGGACGCACATCAGCGGGGTCTTGCAGCAGACAGTGAAAAAGGGGATCTCAATGAGAAGCATGAAAATGGAAATGACAATGCCGAGGATGGCGAAAATGATGAGCGTCCCGATGATGTTGACCAGGGAGAAGATGAACAGCACTAGAAGGGCGCGCGGTACAAAGGCAAGCAAAGAGAGGGGGTCAGTGCGACGCTCGATGTGTCAAGAGTTAACCAGCCAGCCGGGGGCCGCCGGGGGTGCCACAGGCCGGGGAGAGGGGGGACACGCACGAACAATGCTTGCAATCGCCACCCACTGGCCGTAGATGGAGAACTGGCCGGAGCGGAGTTCATCAAGACAACCCATGATGGAAGAGAAGGCAGAGGCCAGGCGCGAGGAGGGGGAGGTGGCGGGAGGGAAGGGAAAGAGGAGGGGAGGTGCCCTCCGCCCATGCAAGGGCCGGCCCGCTGGCCGGGGCCATTTCAGTGTCGGACGCCGCGTAGATCGGGCTCGCGGTCCTGCGCGCCAGACCCGCCTCCCCCCCCCCCCCCACCCCCCCCCCCTGGCCCCCGGCAGATGAGAGCCGAAAGCGTGCGACCGGGACGGCCAGGGAGCCGGGGGCCGGCGGGGCCGGACAGGGATCTGACTGTCAGCCTTACCCTCTAGCCAAAGGCCCGACACGGCCGAACCTCGCACGCAAATGGGCCCCGAGCATTTTCCCCGGCGGGGCCGGGGCCCCCGCGGAACGGGCGCCCTCACACCCCCAGGGCGGCAGAGACCGGGCCTTCCCGATGCCGCAACCTTCTTCCCGCCGCCCGCGGGCCGGGCGGAACGGGGGAACTGCCGGCGGGCTCCTGCCTTGGCCGTCCATGGCAAGGGCGATGGGCGGGCCCGGACGCAGGCCCGACACGTGATAGAGTCAGCCGGACGGGCAGATCGCGGGTCTGCCTTCCGGCATCCGCTCGCCGGGGTTGTCCCCTTGCCACGGCAGCGACCCGAGAAAGGGGCAGTTCGCGATTGACCGCCCGAACATGGACGGCGATGGGGCAGGGGGCCTGGCATGCGGTCGAGGCACCCTCCCTCACTCCGAGAGTGCACGAGGGGGAGATCCAGTATCCTCCTCTCCCTCCCTCCACGCACACAAACTTGAACAACAATCGTCGAGGGCCCATCTCTGCGCCTCCTCGCATTTTCCCAACATGGCCGACAACCCCTCCGCCTATGTCCACCTGGTCGGCGAGTGCTCAGCCATTGAGACACATCTGCGCGAGTGCGTGGCCCAGCATGGGCCGGACGCCGCGCAGGAGGGCGGCCCCTGCGCCGAGCTCCACACCAGCCATCACGACTGCAACACCCGCATGTGCGTCTGTCCCATGTTGCCCGTTTGCGAGGTCTTTGCGCCTCTTCTTTTTTTCCCCCTGTGCCCTTCACTTCTTTTTCCTTTTTCTCCCCTTAAGTCTGGCTCTTCGCAGCTCACAAGCCTCCTGCCGCTCTTTCTCCCGCCCATATACACGCACACGCACACGCACACGCACACACCAACCTCTAGCAAGCCCATGCTCGCTTTTATCAAGGGCCAGTGTCGGGAGTATATCTACCAACTGCACTTGTGCAGCAGCCAGCAGGCCGACCAGAGTAAGGCGGTTAGCGCTTGCCTGGCGCAGATTGAAGCCCTTCGAGCTTGCAACGATCGGGTCGGGGCGGATCTCCTCCGCCAAAGCCAGCTCAACGCCGAGGCCGTCACCCGGCAGGCGGACTTCACCCCCGAGGAGGCAGAGATGTTGCTCATGGGCCCAGGCCGGCGGCAGGCCTGACTGCCATGCTATCAGCATGCCGCCCTCCTTGGTCTGCCTCTGCCTTGCCCTCCATTTACCCGCTCCGTGTGCCGATGCTTTCATGCCCAACCTGCCTCCATTTCCCATGACTCCCAAGGAAGACCGAGAATAGAAGCCTCCTCCCTTTTTCTCTCTCCCTCCTGGTCCTCTTTGCGCTTGCTCCTGCTTTTTGGGTCCACACTTGGGCATCCGAAGGAACGGCCAAGGTAGGTCCGCCTCTGCATGTGTCTGTGTGTATGTGTCTGTGTGTATGTGAAGAAGCAGGGAGTGAAATACGAAGAGAAGCGGACTAGTCGCTGATGCGCCAGGAGGGCTGGGTTTGGCCGCTCCCCGTGCCGATGGCCGCCTCCAGGGAGGCCATTTCGATGGTGTTCATGCTGGCACCCGGCACATCGTCCGGGGCCTCGGCCTCACCAAACGGCCAGGCGCTCTCGTCGCCGGCCGTCGAGAAGGGCCGACGCTCCTCCGAGGTGGGCCGGTCCCGCCACCGGCCCTGGCGCCAATGCTGGAAGTCCTTCCAGGTGCGTGCTGCGGCCGCGGTCGCAGCAGCCCAAGCGGACCGCATGGTCTCCGAGGTTTGGGCCATCAATGACGGGCTCGTGCCCCGGGGCGTCGGTGGGTCGCCAAGGCGCACACCGGCCGAGCCGGTTGGGGCGGCAGCGGCGGCGGCCGGCCGGCCAAGCGCCGCCGCCGCACCCTCATAAGCGGTCTTAAATCCATGGCGGAACCACACCACCGTTCTTCAGCGAGGGTCAGCGGCGGGCCGCCGGGCAGGAGGAGGGCGGGAGCGACAAATCAGTGCCCGGTGCCAAAAGCATCTGTGGTGATAAACCCCCCCTGGTCAAAGACACCAGGACAGAGGCAGAGGCAACAACGTACTCCATGGTGGGGGCAAGGGAAACCGATGGACGCGGGAGATCAGCGCCACCGGCCGGAACAGCATCCAAGAACTGGTCCAGGCCACGAGTCATTGGCCCGGCTGATGTGTGGCAATACCGCGCCAGGGCATTGGAGACATGCTGGGCAGGAAGAGGCGGAGGGGGGGGGGGGGGGGGTCTCCGGGAAAGAACATGATGGGGGCACAGCCAGCCAGGGCCATGATGAAGGGGGAGCCGCCGCAAAGCAAGCGAGGAAGAACGCGGCCGCACCCAGGCAGCGACGAGGGTCCACTCGAGCGCATGTGGCACACGGGCCAGCAACACGGCCAGCAGGTGCCCGGCCAGTAAGCCGGCAAAGTGCGACGAGAAGGACACCCGCGGCAGGAGGACCTGCAAGATGAGCAAGCTCAGCCAGGGGATGAGCTGCTGTGGGAAAGGAGGCCAAGGGGCGCTGGCATCGGAGGGAGTTTCAGAAACGCTGCCTCCGTCGGTGGTGGGAGTGCTGGCCAGCTGGCCGAAGGACACGATGTTGGCCCCACGCCCGGCACTGTTCCGGGCTGATCCGGCGCTGACGCCGGTGGCGGGAGAGTTGGCGGTGTGCTGGGGAAGAGCCGGCTCGGAGGAGGCTGCCTGCAAGTGGGGCTCCAGAATGAAGAAGCTGTCGGCCCGAACGTGTGGGCCAGGCCGGCAGCCGGTTGATTGGTCAATCGATCGGTCGGTCGGTCGGTCGGTCGGTCGGTCGGTCAGTGATGTGCACAGTGGGCATGGCGGGGGGGGGAGAGAAACGCGAGCACAAGGGAGGCGAGGGGGGAGGAACAAGCGCGGGGGCTGAATGGCAGGGCCAGAGAGCCCCAACTGGCCCCCGCAGGTGGCGTCGCACCAGAAGAGAGCGCCAGAAAAGCCAACCGAACACTCACTAAGGCCGGTTAACCACAGGAACAGCGTTTGCATGGTCCCCACCAGGGGGAGAACCAGCAGGAAAACCAGCCCCGCGGCTGGTAACGAGCCGATCTTGCGCTCAATGCGGCCGAGGACCGACACGCCGGCCAGGCTGTTCATGAGAAAGTGCAGTGCTCCAGCATGGAAGAGGGGAGACACAGCGATACTGGCAACTGGACAGAGGACGAGAGGGAGAAACGAAGAAGGGCACGGGGCAAAGGAGAGAGGGATCGAGGAGGAGGCAAAGAGGCAGGGCGAGGCAGAAGCAGCGAGGCGAAAGAGAGACCCAGTCAGGGGGAAAGGATGATGTCAAACAGGGGGAAAATACCATATGTAGCAAGGTTAGCCATGCGCCAGGTGCCAGAAAGGAGGGGCGGCCGGAGGGGGGCAGAGGGTAGGAGGGGACACAGATGGCGCCAAGGGCACGTCCGGGTGTCCTCTCGGCCGCACCTTGTCGCCAGAAACCCTTGCCCAGCTGGGGCGGACCAAGGCAGACGGCTGGGATGGTCGCCGGGGGCGCGAAGGTCCAGATCAGGCCCAGCGCCAGGACAAGCAGGCATGTGAAGGCAGGCGGCGGGGGGAAGTTGCGGAAGATCATTCTGCGCGAGGCATCGCATGCGTGCGTGCGTGCATGCGGTAACAGGGGAGGCGAGAGACAAGCTCACGGGAGGGGGAGGGGGGCAAGGATGGCGAGAGACGAGGATGG